AACAGGAATCATGACCATGCCGGGAGGTCGACGTGACCGAACATGCGACAGCGTATCTCTTAACCGACATCTATGCAGGTCGTGTCCGAGCACTTAGGACCCCTGGGATGAAACACATCGTATAGTAGTGGTAGTTTCAGAATCAGACTTTCAATAACCACAATAATTGGAATAATGGTAATGATATGATAGCAGGAATAACGTTTTGCAATTTATTGTAGAATCAACTAGCAATAACAGCAAAAATAGTACATGGTAACAATGATAATAATGATAACAGGACCGAAACAGTTTTACCGGCTATGGACATCATATATTGGGGCCTTACAGTAAGAGTTGGAATAGAGTTTTGGGGTATATTATAGCATAGTTATACTGAGGAGCCCTAAGGAATAAGATTGGTAGCTATTTTTGCTTTTAAGATATTCGGGCAGACCCCATCAGACAGCCCAAAGCCCTCCAAAGTGCCTGGTCGTTGTAGGACCAACGTAGTACTGGATCCTTTCGGTAAGAACGTGGTTCTCCGGCAAGGAGTTCAGCACTTGTGCCTTAGCTACGCATCGAGGATGCCATGCGGCTCTGCAGATGTTGGATTCGGGAAGTGTGCACTGATCTTCCTGTCCTACAATTGTAGAACATGGATGCTTCTCCAGCCCAAGCCCTTCTGTGAGGACAAATTTTTATGGCGATGGCAATGAGAAGCGTGCTGTCAGCGCCAGCGAAAATGCTGGGCCAGCAGCTGGTTCATCAAAGTCTCGGTCTGGAACAAGCCTCCGGCGCCCTGCTACCGGTACAGCGACGACGGTTAAAACCAGTGTAGCATCCATAGTACTAGCGCAAGAAATTCGACCATGGACCAGCCTAGTAGCCCTAACCGAAAAATCACCAGCTGTCGCAGCGGCACGAGTAATTTCAGCAGTACTGGTGGTAGCAGCAGCAGCACAGCAGCAGCGGCAGCAGCAGAGGAAGAAAAGAGCAGGAGCAGCTGCAGCCGGAGTAGCTACACGTTTGATAGCCTTACATGGGTCAGGCAAGCAGCCCATCTCGTGGCCCGCTCGAGTGGAGAACCGGTGACAAACACAATGTCCGCCTGAATGGGAAATCAGCTCGCTTTAGCGTCGGATATGACCTGCTCTGTTCGTTCCCTGCGTGTATGGGTGGGTCTGCGTCCGTGTGCTAACCCCAAACCCCCAAACCCAATGCCCCTGTAGAACCTTTGTTCTAGCAACCCAGAGTGACCCTTCAATACACGACCGGGACACGCAAACGACCCATTCAATGAAGCCGCAAGTCCTAAACCCTGAACCCAAAGCCTTTAACTTTAACAAACCCGAAACATCCCAAGACCCAAGACTCTAAACCCTTACAAACCCCCAAAGCCCTGCAGCCAAAGCCCCTGTCACAATGAAAACCTCAGCTCCTTGGGCTCTCGGTGTCTCGAGCCTTTAAGGGCCAACGAGCCCACGGTTTAGGGTTTAGGGTTTAGGGTTTTTAGGGTTTAGGGTTTAGGGTTTAGGGTTTAGGGTTTTTAGGGTTTAGGGTTTAGGGCTTAGGGTTTTGAGGGTTTAGGGTTTAGGGTTTAGGGGGTCTTTGAAGTTTAGGGGACTACGGTCCCATCAGAGTTTAGGGCTGTAGGTTTTCGGGTAGAGTTCCCGAGCCACAAACTCTGAACCGTCTAAACCTAAACCCTAAACCCTAAACCCTCAACCCTAAACCCTAAACCCTAAACCGATCACAAAGCCCGGCCTCCAGCGCGGGGGAGGCATTGAGATGCTGATGGAGTAGCCACAGCGAGGCTTCGTCATCGATCTCCTGGCATGCAGAAGGGCTTCAACAAAGGCGCAGTTCTCTAAATGAGGGTCACTTTTAGGGTCCCTTTTATAAGGGTGCCGTACTATATTGGGGACCTAAAAAGGGGCCCTAATTTAGAGAACTACCCAAATGCTACATTTAGATCCCTGCGGTGTCATTGCGGTCGGACAAGCTCGTTGCACAAGAGTCACAGGGGTCTTTGGCAGTTCGCAAATCGCAGGATATCCTGAGCTCTTCTTCGTCGTGTTAGTACAGATGATATAGTCGGTCCTGTGTGCCGTAATTGTCAGTGATGACTAGCAGATCATCTCCCACTTGTCAGCGTCACGGCTACATGTTGCATCTCTGGCCCCTGGCTTCTGCAATCGCGCATTGTGTTCTTCGACATTGGGAACTGGCACAGGATTCATGAAATTTGGAAATCTCGAGCAGATGTGAGACCACATAGCAGAACTACAGGCTTTCAAGTCACGGAAGTGTAACAGCACCAATACGAAATCCTCCTGACTCTCTTTGCCCTCGAAGCTTCCACAAAACCCTCGCGGTTGGGGGCCGGAGAAGGACAAGGAACAAACTTCAAAGCCCTGGGGCGCCTCGCCAACGTCCGTAAGGACAAGCATTCTAGGCCCGGTTTGGCCAGGCAAGATGACCGCACCCTCTGAAACTGGCACCTGAAGGGGCAGGGGTTTGGGCTCCAGGGGACAGCAATACAGTGGCATGTTACCCGAAGCTTACTATTGCCAGGATTCCCTGCGGTGACCGCTGGTGCGAATAATGTAGTAGGCGTCGAAAGATAGATAGTCATGAGGCGGAAAAAGACAAATAGTACATCAACTTTGCTGTCGTACTGGCAAGTGAAGTGACAGCAGCAGCAAGGAGAGTAGTGAGAGTGGGAAACCTTTAATGGTAATAGCAGAGCAGTAGTAGCAATCGTAGAAGTAGCAGTCGTCGTTGTCGTAGAGTAGCCTCCTAGCGTCCTAGTCCCACGTCCTACTCCCATTCCGACTCCTACTCCTGCTATTGCTCCCCCTCTTCCTCCTCCTCCTACTAAGGTACTGCTGCTACTACGACTACTGTACTACTGCTGCTCTACCTGCTATACTCCTGCTCCAGTTGAGCCCCTGTCCTCGCAGCTGAAAGACAAGAACATTTTGGAGACACCCTTAGTGTCGTGTAATGAGTGATCCGAACTTCACTGTGTGCATGTGCGGGGTAAGACGACTTCGGTCGGGGCAATGACATCGGCAGCCGTGAACCCTGACACCTGAACAATAATCTGAGGTCACGACTGCACTGACACTGGCCGCCGCCTCTGCGCCGTCCTTGAGAAACGGCTTAAGGTTCAAGGTTTTCGGGTTTATAGTTTAGTCCATTGACGTCTTGGGGGTTAAGTTGTCTTGTTCCTGGGTTTGGATGCGAGGACTCGAGCTGAGAGGAAATGTGGGAGGGGACTGGATGGAGATGGGCCACAGTGGGGCTTAGTAGACACCGAAAACCCTAAACCATACTGGTGATGATGTAAATCCTGCATTGCCTTCAGGACCCTAAACCATGGGAATTATGGTACATTCAAGGCCGGATTTATATCATCAACTGTACGTCCAAAGGGTGACCCTCAAGGAAGGCTCGCTGCGGTGGTGCTGGAGCTTGCAGCCGGAACACCGTCGACGAGTTGCACCAACCGAAGATGTTGTTCCAAGAGAGCTCGGACTGTTCTGGGCCTTGGCTGCGCGTCTCGAGCTATGAATAGATTGAAGAACCGAAAATAGCTATGTACTATAGATCCCAAAACCGAAATCTTTCACCCTGAACCCTAAAAGGCTGTAGGGACACTAATCCATCGGGGACGTGACTAGTTGCAACCATGCTTTTCTTGCTTATGTCTTTTCAAGCAGACTCAAGCAAGACCTTAACCCTAAACCGTGACACAAACTGCGAAGCTTGAGAACAAGGAGCTTGTCTGCAGCGTCAAGTCCAGCGTCTGTGCAGCAGGTAGGGTGCTCGAGAGACTTCAGTCGATACTGGTGCTTACAAGAAGATCGTCTGGGCTATAATCGAAATGGTAATAATCGTAGTAATATAGATAGAAGTGACAATGCTCATAAACAGATAATGATAACTGCTTAACAATAACAACAATCATAATAATGCACTAGTAGTTATAGCAGCTGCGGTATGCAAGTCGGTCAGGACTCGCAGCGTTGCCATTGTCAGCTAGCTTCATGGCACAAAACCCATTGACTTTCCCAACATGGCAGAGCCTATAGTCCCTAAAGGCCTGAAAGCCTGTATACCCCCTGATCCCTACCTACATGTCCAAACTTTACACCCTGATCCCCAAAATCCCCTAAACCCTAATCCCACACACTCCCGTCCTTGAGCTCGCCATCCGGTTGAACTTGGCAGGACACCCGCTCGGTGGTCGCAGGATTGAATGCCACCTTACCTGAAAGGATTTTGGGTTTAGGGCTTGATGTCTTTGCAGACCCGAGACCGTAGACCTCAAACCCTGAGCAACAAATTCTGCTTTGAAGCTTAAGGCGGAAAGCCGAAAGCAAGGCAGGTCAGATCCCATAATTATGTAGACCATTGCCTCATTCCCCCCCTCATTCACGCACCTCATCAGACAAACCTTCTCGAAGAGGACACGACTACAGGCGACATCTGGGCGTTCTCGCCCAGACAAAAACCCGACCCTAAACTCATTCCTGGGCACAGCCCAAGGAAACATCTCCAATTCTATCACCTCTATAAGCCCTACAAACCCTATAAGCCCTATGAATCCTACAAGCCCTATCAACTATAATCCCTATGAACCATATATGTAAGCCCTAAGGGGCCCGAAACACGGAAGCCCCGAACTGGCGCAGCATCGGAGATCGCCAAATGCCTCGAAGATGCAGGTACCCACCTTCCGGTAGATGTCCACCTTCAAAAGGAGGGGAAGTTCAATTTCAGTGTCAGGGCTTCATAAGGGTTTCTATACATTTTTAGGGTTTGGGGTGCATAACTTCTGCTGCCAGGGTTTACTTACAGGATCATGAGACTTAGTAATTAGGGTTATAGCTAAGGTAACCATACTTATACTCATTTATAACCCCACTTCAGGTACTTATAACCCCACTTACTAAGTCCCATGATCCTCCAAGTAGTGAGGTTTGCGTTGATGTTCTTGCTTAGTTGCCACCGTTCTCATCTGGCACTGGGACTGCCTGTGCCTAAGACAACGTAAGCTATTTTTACTAGTATACTTCACACTACAAAGGATAACATTACCATTTTTCAAATCGCCTGGGATAAGCTTAACACTATATCTCTATGTGGATTACGGCTAGTGCTCTGGGCCCTGGACCGCGCCTGGGCTGTTTCTGAAGTGCCAGCGACACTAGGGAAGTCGAAATGGCTCTTCGGCCCCCTCTGCGCGGACGACCTCATCTTCGTAGTTGAGGGTTTAAGGTTTAGGGTGTATAGGGTTCTTGAGTCCCTTAAGAAAGTTTAATAAGGCCTCGGAGTTTTGTTGCAATACAAAAGGCAACACAATTCCTAAGAACACTCGTGTTTAAAGGTTTGGGGCTTAGGAGTTTTGGTCTGGGGTTTACTGTGTGCGGCACTTTTCTATACTATGCTTCGAGATTACGGTTCGAAGCAATGACCACCCATCGAACCATTCACAAGGACTGTCCTCTTCACCACGGTATTGGGAAAGGCGCGCAAGTCCACAGATTCATTGCACTACTTACATGTTCGTAGTTTGCGTGATCTTTGCCATATTCATCACGGGGAGCATGCGGTTCGAAACATGACATCATTGTAACCTAGAGACGCGGAGTACGTCTCCTTGCCATATCTAGCGCAGAAAAAACTTGTCGTAGCTTCGTATGCCTCATGACCATGGCTGTCACCCGAATGCTCTCTGCAAAACAACTATAATGAACAATTGCACTACCATAGTAATAACAAACATGACAACACTAACAGCAACAGCAACAACAACAACAACAAGAAGAGCCGCACTGCATGCCTCCCGCCTGCCTCGCTTTCCCTTTCCTCACTTTCGTGCGATTCCCTCAACTTGGGGTCCAAGATCTGGAGCTTTTAGAACTTTAGGGTGTAGAGTTCAGGGTCTAGGATGTGGAGTCTTATGATCTGAGCAAGAGAAAAGACACATGCGCATCAATACTCGTAACAGCCCAAATACCATCACAACACAGCCATACTGCAGCAACGACTTCTTTAAGAATAGCCCTAAAACCCTACCGGCCCTAAGCACTTCAATTCTGCAAGGCATGGTTTCTACATTGGGAACTATTATTATTATTGTTATTGTTATTATTGTTATTATTATTATTGTTATTATTATTATGGTTTGGGTAAGTGTTCCGCATAGGTACGCAGGACCCTTTGGGTAAAGCACCAGGAGCTTCAACACTGTTCTCGGCAGGTCGCTGCGTTGACCCGACCGTCACGGTCGTCAGGTATTGGCTGCCCAGAGCGCCAGCAGAGTCCTTTAGGGTTTAGGGTTTAGGGTTTAGGGTTTAGGAGAGTCCTTCCGGTGCTCCCCCCCAAAACTATGCCACTCTTACAACAAGCACCCTGAAAGCGACCGTGATGTAGAGAAGAACTGGTTTTAACAAATCAAGGGAATAGGATAAGGGTTCAACTCCTGATTTGTACAAAGTTTCCGTGCAGAACGCCTGATCTGCTTGTCGTCAGGTGGGCTGAATACGTGATGTGTGTGTGTGTGTGTGTGTTTCCGGGCATTTCGCCGTTCAGTGTGCGCGCGCTTGCTTCCCTAGTATTACTGCCTGTTCTTACTGATATCACTATGATTACCGATACTAAATTACTATGTTGACTTTTTTTGCTGACTGTGCCACAATGACGCATGTCACTAGTCTATTTATCGCTATTATTAGTACTAATGTTATGGGTTTTATGATTGCTATTCATACGTTTTTAGTGTCTATCTGCTTGCAGGGCTTGAGCTGTTCAGTCGGCGGGGCAGGTTTTAGTGCCGATCTTTTGCCCTAAAGCCCAAACTCCGAACTTGGGCTACCATAGGGGTTAGGGTTAAGGGTTTAAGGTTTATAGCTTGGGGTTTATAGGGTTTTAGGGTTTAGGGTTTCGGGGTTAGGGCTACCATAGGGCTTAGACGGAGCCTCGGTCGGTTCTTAATGCGAGGCTGCATCTAGCACTGAGTGGGTAAACCAGGACGTAAAACAGGGTATTTAGGGCTGCGAAACCACATCCAGCACAACCCGAAGCTGAAAATTCTTTTTTTCTGCATTCAAGGGGCAAAAACCAAGATCAATCGTCACCACCGTCGCCTTTTGTCATGATGATGACCATCATCATCATCGTCGTCGTCGTCATCGTCGTCATCATCATAACCACAGCGACATGATCATCGGGTATCGTGACAACGACAAGCCTGATACGAAGGTGTTGTGTTAGTAATGACCATAATGACGAGGATGATGAGATCATCTGTTTGCCTTTTCGATCACCCCTGACTACGAGAAGAAAAATTGAATATGGGGTTCTTATAATTAGAATGTAGTTGTATTTTTTTTGGGGGGGTATCAAATATTAAAAAAATATACTTATGCAAGGCCCGTAAGAAGCTACTGTTTCTACCTATCCCGGCCCGTGTCTTGAATCATCGTCCTCGAGGGTGAGCCGCACCATCCCGCCCCCACCCGGAGACCCGGGGCAACCCGTAGGGCAGGGTATGGCTCCAAGCAGCAGGGGCGGCGAGCCGTTCCCCCCCAACTTCCGAATCTAACGGCTGTTTCCTGATTGAATGTCGACACCTGCAGGAGAATCGCAAGTTGGATAAGTTTGTGTTTAGCTTAGGTGGAGGCTGTCGCGGCTTTGCTGCAAACTGCGGGCTCGTGCAGGCCTGTGGCCGCATGATGCTACAAAGATGATGGCTTCCGGAATTGCAGCAAGCACATGCGCACTCTGGGATATGAGTAAGAGCCGAAACTGCGACACCGAAGCCGCTCATGTCCGAGGTTCAAAGAAAGCTGCGTAGATTCATGCGTGTCACTAATCCCCGACCCCTGTCTCTATCTCTCTCTCTGGCTGCAGCACAAAACCTAGCAACAAACGGCCCCGCTTGTGCCTAATCGTCCACACTGTGGAACCAAGTGCATGCCACACAAGACGAATCTGTCACATTCCTTCTATCACATCGTCATTTCGAATGCTCGAGTTCCAACCCAAGCGTCTGTCTTTAACAACAGAAAACCAAAAACATTCTAACTCAGATCCGCAAGCGCTAGTGATTGCTAGCCATTCAGAGGTTCTTTCCTTAAGCTTAGCAACCTCAGAAGACCCCCGGAGATCGGATCTCTGAACGCACTTGCCTGGGAGATTTGATCTTCAAATCTCCGTGAATCCTTAGCTCATGGGCTTCGAAGAAAAATTCAGATGCACAGGTACGCCAGGTAGCAGCAATGGTATCTGCATAAGTAGTGGTACACCGCAGTAGTGTGTCGTCGTCGTCGTCGTCGTCGTCGTCGTCGTCGTCGTCGTAGTGGAGTAGTAGTCGTCGTCGTAGAGTCGTAGTCGTCGAAGTAATAGTAGTCGTGGTAGTATATAACAGTCGTCGTCGTAACGCGGCAGCAGTTCCTTGGGATGCCTCGCCTTCTCAAGGACATGGTCTGCTTGCAGATGCATGGCATATCGTGGTCACCATCCTTGTGAATGTGCTCGAGTTTAGACTCGCGACCGCAGCTCCTCCCTGCACGCGCACTCCCGTGCCACACGCAGCGCGCCAGGGGAAACGGGCATGCATGTCCCCTGCGCTCACGTCTCCAAACCATAAGCGGCTTTCAACATTCACTTGCATGGAGGCTCATGGGTAGTTATGGGTATAGGGCCACAAGTAGGGCGACTATAGTTAGAAGGTATAACCCATGTTGGACTGATATATCCACTTATGACTCAACTACCCATGGCGCGTAACCTTGCAGCCATCTTGAAGCTTTCATGAAGTGAGGAAAGCTCTGACATCTCTGACCAGATTGCTGCACAGGTCAGGACCTCCCATTTCAAACAGACTAGAAGCTCAGCACATGAGACCCTGCCGAGCTGCAAACTTCCTTGAAGATGTGGTTGGGCACACCCTACTTCGAGGTTCATGGGTAGTTATATAAGTGGGATTATAAGTGGGGTAACTCTAATTATAACCCATGTTAGGGGACTTAGAACCCGACTTATAACTACCCATGAACCTCCAAGTAGCTCGAAGCCCGAAGCTCTGAACCCAAACCAACTGCTATGCGAGGATCTGCACCAACTCGGACAGCTGAGAAGGAGTCAGCTCCACCTGCTTGAAGCGTTGGGGGGTCCAGCTTTCTTAGGATGCCGCGGTTCCTCGTGGGGTGCCTATTAGGGTTTATAAACCCTAAACCCTAAACCCTAAACCCTAAACCCTAAACCGTTTTGGAGCTTCTCAAGGTTAGGATAAGCGTTCTCAGGCTCAAGGAGAGTGACGGCTAGTTCGGTTTCGAGCTCAGAGCGAAGGGCCGAGGCTTCCGGGAGATTTTTTAGGGTTTAGGGTTTAGGGTTTAGGATTTAGGGTTTAGGATTTAGGGTTTAGGGTTTAGGATTTAGGGGTTTAGGGTTTATTTTGCCTTTTTCCGTCTTGCAGCAAGCCGGAGAGGGCTCGATGAGGCAGGCTGGCTTGACATACCTTAACCCTTTCACTCCCTGCTTCGCATCGACCCATGTGTCCCTTCTGCCCCCATAGTTCGCACACCCCTTTTGGCATTCCGGCAGTTTAGGGTTTAGGGCTTTGGGGTTTGGGGCTTCAAGGTTTGAGGGTTTAGGGTGCAGGGGCCGGGGTTAAGGTATAAGGGCCTCAAGCCCTGCAAATCAAACCCGACCCTGATGCCCTTTTTTGGGGCGTTGACGGCTTCAGGCTTTGCTTTTGCAGCCGAGGAAATGCTGTGCCTGGATATCAGCGATGGTGTGATACCCTATAGTATATCGTAGAATATTACCGTATAACTAACCTAACATAACAAATATAATATAACATAACATAGCACAGCGTGGCATAAAGCATAAACTACTGAGTCGGTTTCAAGCTTGCACGCCCGACTCGTGCAAGCCTTCGGCACACAGGCACACCCGGTCATAACATGTGCACATATTGTATGCGGTGCATGCGGACATGAGATGTAACAGTGTAACGGGTAACGCAATTGCAAAACGAGATGTTGGACCGAAGGGAGAGATAGGGAGAGAGAGGGAGGGAGAGGGAGAGAGAGAGAGAGAGCAAGACAGAGACAAAGACTGAGCGAGAGAGGGGGGATGGGGGTGGACAGTGGAAATAAGGAAAACTAACGAAGAAACGAGATACCAGGATGCCACGGAAGGGCAACAATGCAACAATAAGTGCTCAAGCAACAAACAACCACCAACAACCCCCCCTCCAAAAAAAAAACAAAACAAAACACGCACAAACTAAACACACAATCACAAATCAAAGTACTAGGTTGGCCCCTCAAAGCCTCTGAAACATCTTCGTAAATAAGATCCTTTTAAGCCCACTAAGGGAAAATATGAAATGCCCCAAACGCCTACCTAGAGTACACACTGGACCCGACTCTTCCGGCGAAGTCCGCGCTTCCGGGCCTCGCCATCGACCACACGGTGGCACATCGCGCCTAAGCATGCGAACAAGAACCTCGCAAAGCTCCTACGGTGCTTCGGCAACACCCAGTGCTTTAGAGGTGTCTACGGTTATTGTAGGGGCCTTAACTAACTAGAATAGGGTTTTGGTCCCCATTTTGCTATATTTATAATAGGGGCCCCCAAAATAATATTTGTAATTATTTAGGCCTCTATATTACTTTGACGGGTGCCTACAAATATCTTGACTAGATACGAGTTTGGGAGGATCCATATTCTAGAGTTCAATGGTTCAAGGCCAGCAAAATTGGAGGATGTGGTAATGGGTGCTTGTTCCTTGAATCCTAAACCCTAAACCCTAAACAAGACAATAGCACTGGCAGACTCTTCCATGTTCGCTGGAGCATTTGGCCCGGCACTGACAAAAGGCTCGTGCAAGACGCCCATGCGGCGGTAGCACCTTTCGCAGCCATGCTACTGTGGCGGACCGACTTGACGGTTTAGGGTTTAGGGTTTAGGCTTGAGGGAAAAACGCTAACACCTAAAGCAAAATAGCCGAGTGTCAGATGCGTCGGCGTGAGGACTCGCCCTTTTTGTGGTCATCAAGGTGGCAACACGACTCCCAACAAAGACAGTGTCTGCCGACCCAGCTAAAGGCGTAGGCATCATGAGCATACGCAAGAATCCTAGACTCAGGGGCCCGCAAAGAAAATATAACTGAATGCCGGTAGAAACGATCTGTAAAATTGGGCCCTAACAAGTAGAATAGGGTTTTGGGGTTCGTCATACAATAGCTGGAGGGAGCATTCTTACAAGCTATTCCGACCCTTACATTCCTGAAAACTGAACTGCTTGAACTTGACCCTGTCCCATGGGTAGTTCTCTAAATTAGGATCCCTTTTTAGGTCCCCAAAATAGTACGGCACTCTTATGAAAAGGACCCCAAAAGAGACCCTAATTTGGAGAACTACCCCCATCGGCTTCGAGCTGTCTCATGCTTTCGTCGAAGATGCTTCGAGTCGACCCTCTCTCCATCCTAGCGGCTAGCGATCCATCGACAGTCATCGCGATGCTGATCAACCATGAATCTTTGTAGGTTCGACTTTGGAGTATGACATCTGTGAGAGCTTGTCTGACTTGTCATTGAAGCCCATGACCGTCGTGGCTATTTGCACTTCGGAGTCTCCTGTCGGGTAAACCAACAATTCTGCCTAGACCCTCCGTCTACCGTCTGACTCTACCCACTATTCGGGACCATCTACCCCTGTTTGAGGGTACATGGAGGGTTCTGGTGGTGTCTCTTCTTCAAGCACTGGCCGTTTAAGTGAGGAAGTCAGCGACCGGCCTCATCAGTGGCAACAGACTTTTCTCCGTGGCCACATCGATGGGCAACGCCTGAAACGACCGCACGCACCGTCACCAAGGCACAGGTAACCCTGAACCCTAAACCCGGAACCCAAAAGAACTCACTGTGTTTGTTTAAGAGTCATCGCAGAGCTTTGCAGGTGGTCTGTATGTGTGTGGCAGGATGACAACTCCTGGTGCACGCAAGATTTTGCGGAACACAAATGCGGCAGGTTTACGACGGGAACGCCAGGCAGCCTTCAGCACAGCAACGACGATCAAGACGAAGAGGACCAATGTCACAACGATATACGACAATAGATTTCAACCCCACCATCATGTTCGAAATGAATCCCAAGAAAGAAACTCATCACCCTAATTTCCTTCTAACTCCTAAACCCCAAGCCCCTAAGCTCCGAAGCTCCTGCAGCCCTGCAGCATCGACCCCTTATGCCCCTCTGCAGGCCAGCAGTGCGCCTGGAAAAGTTGCGTGTAGGTCTCATAGTCCTGGAGATGACTTGCTCCGAGCTCCCTCTAGTGGTTAGCATAAGGGTGTTTAAGGTTTGGGGTTTGGGGTACTAGAAGGGTTACTGTAACGGGGCTAGTAAAACGCTGTAAGAGGGGTTACCAGTTGAGTGACAGTTTTTTGGCTTACGAAACCTTGTGTCAAGCCTTCATCCCTGGCACAACCCGTGTTC